TTTGTGTGATGACACCGGCAGTTCGACACCGGCAATTCGACATCAGCGTTGTATGTCACAGAACGACGATATTCGTGATTAAAGACGTTGATCCAGATAGTGAAAGACAAAAGAAAACGAAGAAAGATGAAGGACGAAAGACGAAAGACGAAGGATGAAAGGAAAAGAAGGCGATGAAGAAAGAACGAGGAAAGATGAAAAAGATGAGAAGAAGAACATTCGAAAAGCGTCGGACGCTGTATTGAAGGTGCAAAAAACGCGGGATGGCGTATGCGCAAAAAGCTACGGCGCCTATGACAGAGAGACACGATGTGTATATGAGATATAAGGTTTCGATAAGAAAATAGTTCAGTTAGTGTCGAATATAATGGAGTGCTTAGGAGAAAACAATAAAATCAGAAAAAACATTACAACGGCTCTCGAAAGTGATTTAGGCATTTCATAAATTAATGTTTGGTGAAACAGACGATCGAAAGAACCGTAACCGATTGAGAAACTTCAGCGGATTCACGTGTCAAGACAAAGGAGACGATTATCGAGATAAGATTGCATTTATCCAGGAAACCTTCTCGGAATGTGATCTGATAGCGATCTGATAGCAATCTGTAACATTCTTTGTCTGGATTATAGAGGAAAGAAGATACAGTCAAGCGAATCTGTAAGGGCTTGACGGATTTTAGTATACTGTGTCAAAAAAACAATGATTCTGATGACGACGACGGCTCAAACGAATACGTGAGTGATAAAGGTGATTATGCACTCGCGACTAGCATTGATGATGGAAACACCGGCAGGATGAATGAAGCAGAAGATGCTAGATTCCGTGTAAGACGTAACAACTTACTCACGAGACAAGAGAATAACGAGGCGCGACGATTTCGCGCTATCATTTCGAAATGTGGAAGGTTCCATTAGAAATTTTGACGGCAGTGACGCCTATATATCCAATCGAACGATAGATAGCAGACTTTGAGGATACCGCAGCACTTTTCGGATGGAATGAAGTACAGCAACTGATATTCGCTAAACAATGTTTGATAGGACTTGCGAAACTCTACCAAAGCGAAGGCGTGGTGAAGAACTTGAAAACCTTGAAGGTTATGTTAAAAGACGAGTTTTCTAATAAAATAGACAGTGCTCTATTGCATCAAATGTCTGAGCGATGAAAAAAAATGAAAAATTGCAAGAATACTATTTAATAATGAAAGAATTAGCAGCGATCGAGGACTAGGCATTGATACGATATACCATCCATGGCATTTAAGATGACGAATGAAATAAAGCGATTTGCTATGGGACCAAAAAAATGCGTGACTTCAAAGAGTGCTTGCAGGCATATGAGGAGATAAGGGAGGCGAATCAGATGTAAGCTGCCAAGAAGAAAGACGTCAATGACAAAGAAGACATCTCCAGCACAAGAGCTATCAAAGAAACTAGAAGATTAAATCAATACAGTACGGTGCTACAATTGTGATAGTATCGGGTATGCATCTAAAGGTTGTAAGTCAAAAGTGTTAGGGCCAAAATGTTTTAAGTGTAATTAGTTCACAATCGGGCGCAGGTCTTTCGAATGCGTCGTGAATGCGGAAAGTAAGCAAACAATGATAACAACGCCGCGGCGGTAAATAGTATTGTATTTCTGTTTCGTTGAATGATAATATGTGTAAAGAGGTAATAATCAATGATTTAAAGGTTCGGGCTTGTTTTACAGATAGTCGCGTGACGTTTATCAGTGAAAGAATTTATCGCGAATTAAAGGAACTTACTCTAAGTAGTACTCAGCTTTCTTTAGTCGGGTTTGGTCAAGCTAAAGTTAAACCGTTGGAATATTTCTAGACTGCAATTAAAGTAGATGATGAGGAATTCTCAGTTAAGGTATATGTAGTTCTGAATTCTGCTATGACGTTAGACACAGTTAAAGAGCGCGACGTGTTGCTTCAAGCCATTGTTACTATTACTATGTACATAACTGACATTAAATTCGTCGTATGATATAATTATATATAAATTGTTTTTTCATATATGAAAGTACCTGTTATTTCCTTGTTATTTCAATACCTTGTTATTTCAATACACAATGTCACGACAAAATTCCATCTGTGCAAAGGATGTACTTGAGATTCATCATTTTTTTGCTGTAAAACAGAATCTGGAAATTCTTGTTCTACACTTTTCGTGATATGATTATTGGCGGTGTAACATTATTGTACGAGGTAACTTCACATATGAAAGAACACGTTTATATACAAGTATAATTATATCGACGGTTGAATTTAATGAGAGCTATATGTAACTCTGCGTTTTAAAAATATTGTGAATTTACTGAGGATGGCCAGATTATGGCCGAAACGTCTAATGTTTTTATTAATGTAATGATAATTAAATATCATAAATTATAATTTGTGCGGTGGTTTTTTGCTCTTATTTTTATACGTTTTGAATTATAAACCACGTTCGTTTTTATGATGTATTTTTTAAAAAAGCTTAACTTATTGAGTTTTATTGAGTTTTATAGAGGTTTTTTGGAGTTTTTTTGATAAAATTGATTCTTTAATATTTTTTTCATGTAATATTTAGTTTACGTTGTGTTTATTATTATTCAATTACTTATTCAATTATTCAGATAAAATTAACTATAAAAGAATTTTGTAAAAATATAACATTAATTTTGTAGAAGTTTTTGTTTCTGAAGAGGTTCCAATCATGTAGCCGAAACATATAGAACATTATTAAATTTTTATGTGACTACTTTATCAACGACTGAAATATTGGTTCATCTAAAAAGTATCCGCGGTTTTTTGTCACTAGATGTGTGTTGATGATCATATATCTATATCCCCTATCTATCTATATACCCAATATAATATACTTTGCGCATTAAGACCCGTGGTTGGCTCTTCTATACTTTTCATTTATTTAATTTATTGTAATCATACTATAATGAAAATTTTTCAAATCTAAAAAAAAATACTTCTGTAGTCAATCAAACGTAACCTTATCATGTGTATCTACGAGTTGGAAAGAATTGGAGCTTATGGCACATACGTAAACGTAAAGCAATAACATATAAGCAGTAAACAAATTGGCCAATCACAATAGAGACCGTAAGGCCAAATCCAATGTTACAATTTCCTTAGTGCTTATGTCTTACTGTCTTACGTTTTAAAGGGTGCAGTCAAGTTGCCACTACGAATGCTTCGAAGCATTTGATTGACCAATCGGAAGAAAGAATTTTACTAATTGAAACGTTGATTTCAATATGCAAGCTTCTGATTGGTTGTCGCAACAAACTTGCGATTAGCTTGCAACTAATGTAGAACAGGTTTTATATGTGCTATGAGCTTTATGAAAGCTCGTGACAGTCGCGACTGAAATGTTTTAAGGTGTCCCATTTGCTTTGTTCAAATCTACCTCTATCAGTCACATTGAAAAATATCTTATTTTATTTACCAGAATATCGATAAAAACCAAACATTTCATCTTTATTACATAGATATGGATGTAAGAAAAAAACACATAGCACAACAAAATATTAATTATTTAATGGTTTAATTTTAAAATGCTTTACATGTGTGAGACAAAACATTTAGTATGAAGGCACAAAAACAAAACGCTTATAGATTAGATTGTAACCGCGGTAGCTATCATTTAACGGTTATTTGTGACTGTATCGCCATTTCAAAAATTACAATTTGTAATTACAGAAAAGAACAATTCATTTTTTATTTGTAAAGTTCAAAGCTGCCCCTGTACAAAGTTGCCCCCTCTTCCCTACGTACTTTTTTTCAACGTCAGACATTCGTACGAAAAAGATCTCATAATTTATAATTCTTATTTCAACATGCTTCCAATATTTCTTGTTCATAATCTCCTCTGACCATAATTAAATTCTGATATCATATGTATTCGCATTATCATTATGTTTGTTAGTCATACATATATCATTTTTTGACGTTACCCGTTCTCGCCATGGACATGAATTGGTTTACAATATGTGTTTTACAATATGGACATCAACGTATATCATGACTACCTACTGACACTATAGAGTATAAGTATTATGTGAGATTTGCGTTTGTATGTGAGATGAGATCCTTCAACAATTCAGTTTATTATATAATTTATGTAATTTTTTTAAGTTGCTGAGGAGGGTTAAGTTAAGTCCGAAACGTACATGCTGTATACAGATATTTCATAAGAAGTGGAATAATAGAATAAATTAATCAGTTGTCACTTTGTATGCTCGTTTAAATCAGTCGACCTTGCATTTGTTTTTTTATTGCTTTGTAATCTTACTAGTGAATAATTTAATTTTTTTTTGTTAATACAATTTATTATTATCAAAAAATTATCAAATGTTATTTTAAAATAATATTGACATCTATTATGTACATGTACTGAGTTGATTAGAAAGTTCGTTTTTTTAGTACCAAATTGTATTTACAATATCTTCGTAAAAAAATTAATGAAATTTAAATTTGAAAAAACGATTTTGAAGCTTGAAAATATTTTTATACTTTCGAAAGGTTACTATGTTGTTTGAGTTTTTGTGAATTTGATAATTTTTACATACAGAAAACTACGAGCTGAAAAAGATGGAAAATTTTTTTTTAACTTTGGGTCTATTATTTGTCCCAAAAAAATTTGTGAAAATTTTCGACTTTCCATCCAAATGAAAGCTTAAATTTTCCCCTACAAAATTGTTTTTAAAAATGTTTCTAAGACTTTGAGTTATCACGAATTAAATAAAAAGAACATTTTGACTTTGATTGCTCATAACTTTGTTAAAAATCATCGCACTTTAAAAAAACCAATTTTTATAAATAATAAAGCTAAAACTGCTCTATTGAATGATATAATAACAACAACAAATATATTCTATGTATAATTTTGAGCTTAAAAAACGGCACAAACTTTCTGACCAACCCAAAATATAAGCTATAATTATTATATTTGTCTAGTTTTATACTATTTATAGTATACTATTTATAGATATTAATAGCGAACATGAAAATGAAAATATCGTGTCGAGTAGAACATTACCATGGACAATGCCAATGGCTTTGTCAATGTCATTGAAGAAAAATAACAAGAAACCTATAAGACGACACGAAGAACACTATGATGAAAAAGGCAAGGACACAAAGATTTCAAAGATCTTTCAGCTGGCAGTAACTGCACTCTCTTTTTTGGCATTCGGTGGTTATCTCCTTACACTCATAATTACAGCAATTCGTCGCAATAATGGAAATGGAAACGGAAATGTCGTCATATTTTCAGTAATAATTAAATTAATTTTATATAATAATTGTAATAAAATTCTTACTATTAGAAACTAAACAATTAAAAAATCTATTCAGCAATTATTTAAATATATATGTATATATATATATTAATTTTACTTCTTCATTTAAATATAACTTTTCTATTTATATAGTTATACATATAACTATAAATAGAAAAACAATTTTTTATTATAAAATTATTACTATTGTAAAATCTTTTTATATTTTTTATAATTTAATTCTAAATGAGCTGTTATATTTTAAGAAGCTGTATGTTTTTTTTAAAGATTATTTGTATACGTATAAGAACTGCAATTGTAATTGTTTGGAAAATCTTTTGATATTTATGATAAGAAAACGAATTAATTTTTTATAAACATATTTAATTATGCGAACAATTATTAATTATTTTTTTCAGAATCTACAAAGCCTACAAAAACTAAACCGTCCTAAACGAAATATTTTAATATTCGATCCGATGGAAAATAACTTCGAAACAGACAAACTCTATGAAGGAATGATTATGCTTTCGAGAAGTTACGCCTTATACAATTGACCACAAATTATGAACTTTGTGTTTTACAGATTTATTATTTATGCATGGCTATATTATTATATTAAATGATAAAACATATATTATATATAACGTAATTATATATAACATAATAATACATATGGTAATAAATTGAAGCAAATATTTCATTAAAAAATGCAGCAAAATTTTAAATGTAAATATTATTTATTAAGTTAGTTGCTTTTATTGTAGCACTAAAGCTACGTAGATATAATTATAAAATCTGAATGAGTGATGAAAACAATAAAATAAATTAATAGATCCTTGAAGAACTTTTTCTTATATTTTTCTTTTCTTATATTTTTATAATATGTTTAAAAATTGTGCCGATTAATTCTATTTAAGAAATACATAGCACACGCAATTTGCAGACTCTTGAAAATCCTAAAACCTAATAAAATCGAATAGAAGACCGTGCTATGTACATATTTCGAAGAATATTCTTAGCGTGTGGGTAGAGAGGCAGCTTCAAACATGGCTCTTCAAATAAACATCTAAGTGGCTGTGTACTTCGCAGACCTACACGTAAAGATAACCATATGGCTCTTGCAAAGATATCATCGACTACACATATGTCTCTATACCATTGTTCCATCGATACATAACTATGAATTCTCGTACATAAAAGCTCTTCGAAATTTTTGATTACATGACGTTCATGTAATCAAAAATTTCATGTCTGAAAGTAGCGACTATAAAGCGATTATAATATTTCGTTATAATATTTCATTTTTAATTTACTCATTTTAAATGCTTCCATTATATTAATCAATCTATAATTATGATACTTAATAAAATTGCATCAAATTGAAACAATAAGTTTTTAATACTTATTACTTATCATTTATAGTATTATTATTAGTAAAAATGCTCAAATACTTAAAAATAGAAAATCTAAGTTAATTTTTGTTCTGTAATTTTTAAAGATTTTATATAATATTACAAAATGTGATTAAAAAATATTTAAAATAATTCATACTTGAAAACAGCAAAATGTAAATATGGGATCAATTGAAGAAATCAAAAACTGTATGACACATACACACACAGAGATTTTATTTATACAATATAAAATCAATAGTTTAACGTATATTAAAAACAATTTGTTATTATTACCATTGCCATAATTTTTATTTTTCATCTTTTCAAAGCATCTCTCACGGAGAATATTACTTTAGCTTAACATTTATATCTGCAGTATTCGACTCATCATTTTGACCAGACCAATCTTCTTATAGTCCCGCCTACCAGTATTTTCGTGGACCAATCCAGTTAATCCAGCGAAATCACAACTGGCGGTGGTAATTTTTTCAGCCAGAAATTTCTCGACATGGCAGAGTTTCATTCACTCATTCACTTTTATGCTCTTCTATAATTCTCACAAATATTTTTTGCGAAAGTGATAATTCTTTACTAATAAATTAATAATTTAGAGTCTTTTCTTTCTCAAATTTATTTCTATTAAATCAATATTTAATATAACTGTGTGCATTTAAAAATAGTGTTATATAAAGAATGATTAAAAAAAGTGAATAGTGTATAGTGAAGTATGAGTTATATTAGTTGACAAGCATTACTAGAATTCATTTTATGTTATTTTTAATAATAAATTATTGTGTAAATTTATATTTTAAAAAATACGGGCATAAAATACAAATGCAGATTTTCCAAAATGTTATAAATGCAATTAACGCAGATACATCGTGCAAACAACCGTGTTTTTGACAAGTTTGGAAGAGCGACGATGAATGACGTTAATGCTTTCAATATGGATAATTCTAATTATTCAAGACAATTAAAATTTGGTATGGATCGCATATTATCGAATGAAATTTCCACAAGAAAAATAGGTGAAGGTTTACACTACTTACTTAAAATTATAATTTACAACTGTTATATGAAATTGTTCACTTCTAATATAATTATTATAATTGACTTACATAATTTATTTACAAATTTTTTAAATAATTTATGCATCAATTACGCCTTCTTTTAATCGAACCTATACGTATACATATAGTATAATAACTTTTTCTTAAACATATTTTTAAATAAAGATTGTATTTTAGTTTTAATATTTCTTTATAACAGTAATAAAGTTCTATATTATTATAATTAAATAATATATATATTATTATTTATATATCTTATAGAAGTTTTAATTTATCGAAGTTGATACATTGATATAGATATTCTTAAGCCACTTCCAATACAACTCCCACCAATACGTTGTCCCTGCATCGAAAGTTGCGAGCAATGCGAAACTGTCAGAACTGTCAGAACTTGCATTGCATTCCCGCATGCCCATTCGTCATTATTTGAGGGTACCACATCTGCATCTTATACTGGGCTAATGGAGAGTTTAGGAACTTTATATCGGCCAGCACCATTACGCCCCATACCAAAAGGTAAATTATAATAAATTAAGTTTAATATTGCTCAACTTGTATTCAAAATTTGTATTAGATAAATTTAATTTTACATACTGTACTGCAGAAGTATTGAATATTTTTTATAATCGTAGAGAATAATCTTTTTTATTAAAAATAAAGTCGAAGCAAGTTTATTATTTAAAGAATTGTTCATAACTGTTTAAGATTGTACAAATTTTAGTTAGTTCATTTCTTAATGTTCCTTTGTGGGAAAACACTAGTGAATTGAATTAATATTGAATTAATAGTGAAACAAACTGTGTGCCAAAAAATGTATAATATTCGATTTGAGTAATTTTCCAATTATTTTCAATTGTTTTTTCGCAAGTCTAATGTTTCGCTAATAGTATAATATTTTCATAAAAGTTATCAGACAGTATTGATTAATTATATTTGAATATTAAGCAGAATTTTTCTGTAAATATTTCTAACGATGTCTTGAAAAGATTCAACTGACAATGAGCATCGTAAGTTACGTCATTGACAAATGTTACCATGTGGATATACTATCTTGTACTTCTGATATTCGGGAGCAAGTAGAACAAAATATTTACGTGTCAGTGTCTTCACGTGTTTCCTGTCTGTGTTTAAACGACATCTTAAGTGCCACCCAGCGTTTATGCATGGTGTAAACAGCGGTTTCTATGCACATTTTCTCGGTTGGTTAAAATCTGGTAGTACTCGTATTTATTCTTTTTTTGTTTAAAGCTACTTATTCTCTATCTCTTCTATCTTATTTCATTTTTTGTTCCTTCCTCTCCCTCATCTTCTCCACTGTCAATAAAATTAATGATACATACATATAAATTTTTTTCGTATAAAATAAAATTTAAGAATGAAATAGGTATATAAATTTTTATACATATATATTTAATATATACAGGGTGTTTCCTCTAACTTGACCATCTAAAATATTTCCGTTGTTTTTAATGATACGAGAAAATATCAAAGGAGAAAGTTGTTCGATTCGATGGGGCACATATTATGACCAAAAATTTTTTCTCAGGTCATATTTTTGGAGATTTCAAAGTCACCTCCACTTTTTTAAATGGAATTGTATGATTTTTTTTTACAAAATATAATTGCTCTAATTATTCTGCATATAAAAATATTAAGATAGTGATATAAAAAAACCAATAGTTTACGAGATACTTTATTCTGGCATATATTGATATAAAATGATCGTAAATTATTAATTTTTTTATAATCGTACCTTAATACATTTACAAACAGAATAATGAGATGAATCAATTGAAAAGAAAACACATAGTTAGCTTTAAAAAAATATGTAAAATGGATAATTTTTTAAGTAATTTTGTTTTCTTTTCACCAATTGATTTATTTCATTATTCTGTTTAAGAGTATTAAGGTTAACGATTATCAAAAAGTTAACAATTTATGAGTTATTTAACATTTTATATCAATATGTGCCAGAATAAAGTGTAAAATATCTCGTAATTAGAAAAATCATACCGTGTAAAAAAAAATCATACAATTCCATTTAAAAAAGTGGAAGTGACCTTGAAATCTCGAAAAATATGACCTTGAGAAAAATTTTTTGATCATCATAATATGTGCTCCTTTGAATCAAGCAACTTTTTCCTTTGATATTTTCTCGTATCATTAAAAACAACGAAAATATTTTAGTCAAATTAGAGGAAACATCCTGTATATATAATTAATTAATATACATGGTGTTTGATAAGTAACGATAAAACTCTCGTACAGGGGTAGAGCGAACTAAATTGAGTCGAAAAGTCCTCTACCATTTTACGATTTTTGCAACAGTTAACAAGATATTAATGATAATTACTAAAAATCGCTGAATATTGATTTCCCATAATTTTTTACTCAAGCATTATCAACTTTATAAAAAAACAACGAGTAACAAAAATTGTTTATTTTCTTCTTATAGAATTCTGAGATTTTTTTCAGAAATTTTTAGTATTGCATACATTTTCTCATATTGGTAAAAATAGTTGTCAATAGGGAAAAGCAGTATCAAAAAATTAGTGAAAAATTCTGAAAAAATTGTTAGAGTTCTAATAACAAATATATAATAATATATAAATATAATTTATAAAAAAGATATATCAAAATAGAGTTACTTAATAAATCTATTCCTTTAGCAATTGTATGTATAATATCGAATTACCCATATTTTTAACAAATCTTGTTTATAAAAATTAAATAATAAGCTTATAAATGTAACATAATAATACAAATAGAATATAATTTTAATTTTTAGCAATCAATTTCCGAGTTATTAGATACAAGTTTTAGATACAATGTGATTATTATAAAAATATAATCTTTTTTTAAGCTACTCCTACTTTCTTCCATATTTTTACATAATATTAATAATAAACTATTATATTCATTCTCGTTTAATTTATTATATTAACAATATTAAGAATTTCTTTATTTTAGATTGCATATATGAGAACATAATCAATGCTAGAAATTGAAGAAACTGGGTCTTCATTGCTTAAATAATTAAATCTTGAATTACTATATATACCATATATATATACGATATGTACTTGCATATATACCATATTATAGTCTTTTGACCTGCACGCCGAATTGTTTT